AAAGGGGGGCTCGTAAGCAAAAATCTCAACACCACGTAGTAAATATGGCTGAAGAAAATCATGAATGTGCCTCGAATTTTCAAAACTCACTTTTATACCCAGAAGCAACGGAAGATTGCGAAGTTGATATAAATTTTCATTATAATGTTAAATTAACGCCAGAAAAGTTTGAATCAAACCAAATATTTTTAAATTATCCTGAAGAATAAATTTTAGATTTTAAATTTCATAAGAATATAACAACCACCTATAAATAAGCTCCTATAGATTGTAATTTTAATCAAACCATATGAACTTGACACCTAAGCTTTTTAAATTAAGTTTATAAGCATACTGTTATTCTATATGTTAATTCGTATTTCAATGTTACATGCTGTAATCTAGGAACTAGTGATTATGAAGACAAATGAATAAATATAAATATTTATACTAAATGTATGAAATGTTCCTTATAATACTTACATTTCAAACTAAGTCTAATTTAATTTCGTAATCATTTGCGAGATACAATCTATTTTTTATTGAAATATTATTTATTTTTTCAAAAAATATACTCAGAAGTATGAGTTTTGAGTATAAATAATTTAATGTTGATGTGCTTATTGACTTATCACAAAGTTTAATATAACTTTGAAGCATACGTATTAAGTCTCTTATGTATTAGTATTTTGACATAATTTTGATCTTTTGAAAGCCATAGGTTTGAAAATCGAAACGGCAATAAAAATTATTGTTGATCTCCGTTAATGAATTCAAAGTTTTGGTCTTGTAGAAATAATCGACAAATTCCTTTTTTGGCACCACCGTGCTTTTTTTTCAAAATAAAATACATGTATACATGTAATGGCACCACGCTATTATTGATATTGCTGAACGTTTTACATAAATGAAGGTGCAAATACGTAGACGTAAATGTCTCCATACGTAATAAATGTCACACGATATGCAGCATGCATTCAAACTAGGGATGTTATAAGTCCGATCCGGTTCAGTTCCAGTTCAGTTCATGCAAAGTTCAGTTTTCAACCGTGTTAAACCAAGTTAAAAACAAAGTTAATAAACCTTATTATGAACTGCTATTCAAGATCAGTTCAAACCTCAATAATTCATGTACTTGTGTGTTAGATCATTTATTCGATAATATCGATTAACCTTACCGTATTTTTAAGTTAAAAGTCGATATTCTGCTTTAAAATTTTCGTAATCTAAATTAATGTATAATTGGGCTGGGGCCTGAACTTATTCAATCAAAAGTTTATCAAGTTGATGGTGTGTCCCAATACACTTTCGATATTAAAAAATGCAGTTTATTACTGTACGTAAACCTACCGATATATCGTATGAGGTGCGCGTTATTTTGGGACGCTATTTTGAAACCATGTATGTTAATTTTAAAGGGTACGATTTCGAAGCTAAATAATTCTATAATGTACTTGTTGTTTTATGTCATTGGATAATTGAGCTGTGACTGAAATAGCTATTCTTTGAGAAGAATGACTGTATTAGAGAAAGAAAGAGATAAAGCAAGAGTTTCATTCTGAATATCACCAAGAGTTAATTCTGTATCATTATCAAACTCATTTTTTCATATATAAAAAGTTAATTCTATGTCATTATATTTGTAAGATTCGAATTTAAATAAATCTGATAACTGACAACTGACAATTTTTTTTCTGCACTTAAGCTTATTCCCAGATCACATAAAATCACTGCGCATAAATAAACAAGCATTTCTGACTTCGGTCATCTAATCATGACATGATAAGATGCATCTCACGTAATAATATCATCTTACCTGTGTGTAAAATTTTGACTTACATGAAACATCATTTTAAAAAATTGTAAAACATCATCTTTTGATGCATGTGACTTAAATTCATCTTTTTAAACTAACGTGACATTCCAATCTGACACATTGCCATATTTCAAATCGAAAACAAAAAGAAAGGATAGTAATCGAATATGTGAGAAAATGGAAGAGAAAGAAAGAGAGAAAGTTCCGTCTGAACATTTTTCACTTTATTTTATAACATATATGTACATATTTTTTTACGCATAATTTTCAGAAGAAAAAATGCATTTTTCTTTCTCTCTCATTCTTTCTCCTTAATTTCCACTTCTTTCTTTCTTCATTCTTGTTATTTTTGTTTCTTAAAATTTTTTCTTATTAATTTATAGATCATTATCAACATGACATCCTCAAATACTAGGTATTACAAAATAAAAATAAATCTATTAATGATAATATATCATTATTAGATTTATCAAAAGAGCTAGATAAGATGTTCCTTCATATACAGTGGCCTCCCAGAATATTGTGGACACATTTTAAAATACAATAACATAAAAACCAATAAAAAAACCAGATTTATGATTCTAAGCTAATAGATTTATTAAATCATAAAATACATTCTTATAAAATTTCAAGCGATTTAAATTACTGAGTCAAAAAAAATATAAAAAAATGTAAAATTTTAAATTTTTCGTTAAACCGAATTCTTGTCCAAGCCAATACGTATTATTTTGTCCAAACCAAGATGCGTTTTGCTTGATTTAAGATGTGTTTTGCTTGATTCAAGACGCATTCCATTTTCGTGATACTCGTGATACTCGTGATACTCATTTATGTATCAGCAGTATCACAAAATGTGTAATATACTAATTCGTCTAATTCATCTAATTTATTAATGATACACATCATGGGAAGTGAGAAAGACTTAACCGCTGAACAAAAGAGTGCTATTGTATATGATTATCTTAAAAATGATTCATACCACACTATTGCAGCTAATGTAGGCTGTGGAAAGTCTGTTGTGGGTAACGTTATTTGTAAATTTTGTGAATCAGGAACTGTTAAATCTCAAGCTGTTCGTATAGGATGACCGCTACTTCTCGCTGCTTCTGATCGATATGTTCTCAAGACTCTCATTACTAGTGAAAATCGTCGTTTAAATCTCGCCCAAGTCACCACTACTCTTGCTGCTCAAACAAAACGTAATGTATCAAAAAAGACTGTTTGCCGTGCACTACATAAAGAAGATTTATGGTCCCGTATTGCACATCCCAAGCCACTTATTTCCACCATTAATGCTGAGAAATGACTTGCCTGGTGTCTCGCACATAAAGATTGGACAGCTCGACATTTTCGTCATGTTTTGTGATCAGATGAATCAA